GAAAATGAAAGAAAAGCAAAGAAAAATTGAAAGCAAAGAGAGCCACTACCAAAAATCTGAATAATGCCCAGTAAGTAGTGTTTCTTAGCAGTCTGGCTTGGAAATGCTGACATTTTTACCTCCTTCGCTCTTGTGCTCTTGAGATATTGAGTAATGCAGAATAGCAGAAAGGAAATACCGGTTTGTTTGACTGTGATTGTTTGGGTTTGGAAATGTGGAACCTTGTGCTATGAATACTTCCACCACCTAAAAGGCCTTTTCCCCATGTCCAAGACCCTAGCCAGTCATTTGAACCTGTGTCTAAGACCCCCTGATTAGTTAGTGGTGACACCCCATATGTGAACTCTAGCATTTAGAGGCTGCCATCATGGTGAAGAGATGTTAGGGATTGAGAGAAATAGCATGCGCATTTTTCGCATCAAATTGTCCTGACCCCACTGGTCGAGAGTGAGTGATTCATTTTTCATATTCTATATACTCGTGTACCCCGGTGAGGACCTAGATTGCTCGGTCTCTATTCTGATGTCTTGAGTTGGATGCATGAGTTGACTGTTTTGAGTAAGTGGTTGAGTCAAGTCTAGGTTGGTTGGTGAACAGAAGGGAGACTCTTCCTTTACTCGATTTTGCTGCACTCGAATGTCCTTTGTGGTGGTTGTCCAGTTTGCTATTGAAGTTGGTCATGTATTGATGTTTGGAAACCAGTTCGATTCACGTGTTCTGTGCCTTTATGACTTGTCCCCAAAGTTGGTTGATTGAAATATGTGAGCTTACCTTGTGTCTGACTTGGTTTGCTTGGGGACAAGCAAACGGTTAAGTGTGGGGGAGTTTGATAGACCGTTAATTACACATGTTTTTACCCCTGTTCTTACCCCGTTTGAGATATGATTTCTAGTATTTTAGGCCGATTTCACGCTAGGTTGTGCTTGTTTGTCATATTTCAGGTCCTAGTACGTGAATGGAGGCTTGGGAGCGAGTTTGGGGTCAATTGGATGAAGATCGGACGCGTGGCGAGGTGCTAAGGAAGCCACACGGGCATGCCTGGACAACACACGGCCGTGCACCTCATATTGGTGGCCGTGTGAGATTCTGCGAGAGCAGACACGACCTGCCCTGATCATCACATGGCCGTGCACCTCATATTGGTGGCCGTGTGACTTTCGCCGAGAGCAGACACGGGCAGATGGGAAGCTCACACGGCCGTGCCACTCTGGCCGTGTGAGAAGCCTGAAGATCGAACTTAATGGAACGCGGCGTTTTGACTCACACGGGCAACTGGGTATGCCACACGGCCGTGTGGCCCTGCCCGTGTGAGTCGGGATTTCCTGGTTTTAACCCAATTCCGGGCTGCAAGAGAGAGGATCGGACTTCTTGAGCAAAAACAGAGCCCTAGAGAGAGAAAGTGCGAAGAACTCACCCTAGAAGCCATCTTGGAGCTGGGTTTCATCAAATCAAGCTTGGAGATCGTCCTAGGAGTGGAAATCATCATCCCGGAGCAGATTTTCCTCATCATTATGAGTATGACTACTCCGATTACGGTTTTCTTTTCTCTCTCTATGGAGAAGAACCCCTCTCTCACTTGGGGATGAAGAACCCTAGTTCTATGTGTTAGGGATTGATTGTAATGACTTGGGATGATATTACTGTTTGATTTTAATCGAATGATGCATGTTTATTGAGTCAATTGAAGCCTGATCAACTTTTCCTGATTCATACTGCAATCTGAGATAGATAGAATCTGATTAGGTTGCTAGAGTCTCATCATTCGATAGTAGGAGATTGGCTATACGAGAGTTAGCCAGTGTACTGCTTTGTACTGGAATATAATTCCAGTAGTGGAGTTCTGTTCTTACTGCTTCAGCTTTCTATCCCGGTGAAGACTAGTCGTCTGCCGGGTAGTTAGACTGAGAGGGCTTGGTCAGCTTAAGAGATTCCAAGCTACTGCCGGATCTTCCGCAGTCTAATCAACAGTAAATCAACCCAGGGTAAATTGCAATTGAACCTAACTACTAAGGAGCTAGGGGGATTCATTCCCGAGTGACTCTTCCCTGCTTAAGAAAACCGAATAAATTCCTGCTTTATTTCTGCTTTTAGTTTAAACAACAATCACTTACTTTAGTTGGCTAGATAATAGAGAATCACTGAGTAAGCAGTAGATCTAGAGCCCGGGTTGATAATATAACTTGCCTGTTACTGCATTCCCGGTCTGCGATTACACTTGGTCGCAGATTGGTGTTGTGTTTTGGCGTGTCAAGGAGATATAGCACACAAGAAAGAAAGTGAACAGGTACAAAACTCACAGGCTTTCTAACTGCTCATTCTCTCATGCAAGTTTTCCCAATCACTATGTTTAAATAGACAAAAGTTGTGATTAGGTAATTTCGATTGTCATGTAATTTTGCAGCAAAGAAGGAATATCATTGATCACGAGCATACTACATTCTCAGTAGTCATTATAGATTGTCATACACCCATAATCATCATTTCCCTTTATTGTGCACATAGTGGTAGTTTTGATAGAAATGGGGAATCAAATCGCCAACTCAAATTATGGATACAAGATTATGAGATCAACATTTGGAATGGATTTCCCGTAAGAAGTGATCACCAATAGTAGGTAGATTGTGTCAGTGAAATTTTGAAGTAATGGTGACTAGCTTTCTCCTTCCTTCATACTAGTCGTTGCAATGTCGTTGGATGCGTAAGGAATAATCTTCTCCATCTTCCCTTTTCCATGCCATCAATGCTCCCTTTTCATCTCAAATCTTTCCAAAATTCTCTTGCTTCTATGTAATCTCATCCAAATGCTTCTGTGTCTTCTTGCCTTCTATCAGCCTTGTGGTCTAGTTCTTGAGCAATTTGGGTATACATGAGAGGAAATAATTGTTTTTTCGTTGGCGAGCAATTTTGAAAATTTCTAGAAATCACATGATATTTATTATTCATCTCAAAATCTAGGTTTAATGTAAGCAAATTAGAGATGAAAATGAGGATTATTATGGGAATGAAACATGTTTGGTGATATATAAATTATTATGATGGAATCGATTCGTATGACTATGCATGGTATGACTTGGGACACATTTACCACACACGTTCACAATTACATAAATTAAAGAAAATTACCACAAAAGAATAGTATAATTACGCACCGGGTGGGATCTAGGTTTGTATGGTTTAAGGGAACCCGAATTGTATTTTACTATCGCTCCCTTGAGGTAGTAAAATGTAACCTCATCTAATAGCCTTTTGGCGGTATCAGATTTGGTTCACTTCGGGCTGGAGGATTTCGTGCGCCCTTACCATCGTAAAGGCATACACTACTCCGTTCAAGGGTCCTAATAACGATTTTGCTAGGGTATAGAGCCTTATGTATTAACATCATCATATATCGATAATAAATAAAACAATAATTTCATACAACGAAATTGAAGACAAATCAATCATAGCCTGACCAACGAAGGTAAAATTAAACCTGTGTCCCCAGCGGAGTCGCCAACTGTCGCAAACGGTCCATCCACGACGCGGCGCGAAACAGAGGAGTCGCCACCAATCTCTCGAAGTGGATTGGACACTTGGAAAGCCATGCTTAAATCGGTTAAGATTTAGGCTCGGCTCGGTCTGCGAAATAGATTTATGGGTTCGGGGGTCGATTACGAGTAAGAAAGGTATTACCACCCTTACATCGCCCTAAGTCAGTACTAAAAGTTTGATTTGTCTTTTTATTTGATATTTACTTTTTTGAAATTATTTGGATTTATTATCGAATACGAGATGTCATTTTTTAATATATATATATATATATATATATATATGGCAAAGGCAAGCGTACGCCACACGTACGCTATACGCATGCATTCACACCTATTTTTGTACATGGATAATTCTGACGAATCAGAACCGTTGGTTTTCATTTTGAGATTAAACGAATATTATGGTTTGGATTAGATATTTTGGGACTAGGGTTCACCCATTAGAGTTTAGGGTATAGTAGCATACCCCAAACTCCGGTTAAATCATGGTCTAACTAACAAAACTTGACGAACGTACGGTAAGATAAGCGTACGCCTGACGTACGCTAGCCTGAACCACATATATATATTACATGTTCATCAACATGTAATTACGTTGGAAGAAAGAACATATATTTTTGGTGATTTTAGGGGAAAAGAGGTTTCTATTTTTTTAGTGGACTTGGACCCGTAGCCCGTAGGCCGCCTACGTACCCGACATCTCGGGATTAAAGCCTTCGTAATTCGCCAGCATTAATTGTTTTCAAAATGTTTGCTTACGAACCATCGGTACGTAATGGTTGCTTAATTTGACGATGATTCATCGATCGCAATTTGTTTGAGATTGATTAAATGATTATTGATCACATACCTATCGGTACTTAATAGTTTAATGATTTGAACACGATCCATCGATCGTATTTTTTTAGATAGGTTGGGTGATAAATTGACCATATACCCATCAGTAATAATTTAATCGTGTAATTTGATAAATTAATATCTTACGAGTTGTATGGACTTGAACCTTTCGGTCGCCTACGTATCCGACATCTCGAGATCAAAGTTCGCGTAGTTCGGTTGACATTAATTTTGAAGAATTGAATTGAGATATCATATGGTTAAATGATTTAAGGAACACATCCGTTCCCAATTCAAAATTAAAATAATTATGTGTTGATTGAACTAATTGAACTGTGAAACACAATTAAGCAAGTATAGTAGCAATTAGCCAACAAGATAAGTTGCTAGGCTTGGTGGTTAATCGCTCATACTAGTAAGCCTGAAATTTTGATTTGACTATGAGGAAAGGGTACCAATTAAATTATTTTATTATTGCAAATTCTTATTAAAGGGATGGCACGGTCATGTAGAGAATTGGGGGATCAAATCTGTAGTTTTATTGTAGTATTTTGTGTAAAGTAACTAGGGTTGTGGGGCTAGTATTGAAATTTTGAAATTGAAATAAATTGGTAACGATCCCTACCTCTGGTCCGACGCTGTGAGAGATCGCCAGAGACCAAATCAAGAATTTTCCCCTTCTCTTTCGTCCCCAACTCCCAGACCCGGCGAGCAGCGGTGGTATCGACGATCCACGAGGTTCGAGGTGGACCAGCAACAACAGGAGACGATGGTGGAGGCGAGCGGTATGGCGTGGAGCGGCGGTAGAGAGGAGCGGCATTGGAGACCGACGACGGGAGAGACAAGACGGTGTTCTAGAAACGGTGGAGACGCGGTGGCCTGGCGGCTGTGGTAGATCAACGACGAGGAAAGCGCGGCGGCGTTCTAGTGATACGATGGCGAAAGCAGTGTGTAACAACCTGCACAGCTGGCGTAACGACTTTACAGCTGGAGATGACGTGGAAAGTGTAGAGAAGTATAAATAGCGAAAACAGTTCTGTAATTGGCTATCTTTGGACAATCATTCTTCTGTAAAACTTTACTCTTTAGATAGAAATAGAATAGCTACTGCCTACTTCTCTCCCAAATTATTCGTCTTCCTCTCTTACTCTTTTCTCTAGCCAGATAATCCATATCCAGGTCCTTACAAGTGGTAATCAGAGCCTTCAATATGGCAATGGCTTCTCACACCTCCAGAATTGTGGATTTGGAGACGCAAATGGCGTCTGTACAGCTTCAATTGGAATCTCAGCATCAGGACTTGAAATCTCAGCATCAGGAGTTAAAGACCGCCATTGCGGAGCTTGCTGCTTCCACGAAGGACAATATAGATGCGTTGGCGGCGTCTTTCACTCGCAGTCGGGAGAAGTCTCCGATCCGTTTGGCCCCGCAATCGCAGGCTCCTTTTTCTGATCAGCAACACTTTCGCGGCCAGCAGCAACGACGACCGTCGATCTTGGATCACTATCCCCGGATGGAGTTCTCTTATTTTTCTGGTTCCGATCCTCATGTGTGGGTGAGCAGGTGTAACAAACTCTTTCATCTTTACTCGATTCCAGAAGAGCAGAAAGTTGATTTGGTCTCTTATTACCTGGAGGGACGGGCGTATACATGGTTTGAGGGTTGGTCTTTTCGTCGATTACCGCTGATTTGGGGTTATTTCGTCGATGAGCTGCTTCACCGGTTCGGGCATCAGGAACAATTGAATGTGGTGGCGGCGTTCAACAAACTTCGGCAGACATCCTCCGTGGCTCGCTATCAAGAAGAATTTGAGGACCTTCGCTCGAGGTTGCTCCGGTTGAATCCAGAACTCAACGAGCACTATTTCATTATGAGTTTTCTCGGTGGTTTAGATGATGAGATTCAACCTAGGGTGCAGGTGCTCAATCCTCCTACTCTAGCTTGTGCTTTTTACCAAGCACGGTTGGAGGAATCTGCGATCGAGGCTAGAAAGAAGAAGCTGCGTTCTGTTTCCTCTACTCGTTGGCCAGTTTCAGCTCCTGTATCGTCGGGCAAGTCCTTTCCTCGAGACATGCCATCTCCTTCATTATCTTCAGGGGAGCGGAGCTCGATTCCTCGAGGGAAGGGGCTCTGTTATAAGTGTGGGGATAAGTATTTCCATGGGCATGTTTGTACCAAGAAGAGGCAGTTGCACGTGCTGCAAGCCGACGAGCCACTTTTTCCTAGTGAAGAAGAAGAGGGCGCTGAGGAATTTCAGGACGCGGAATTGGAAGTCTCGTTACAATCTATGGGATCAGGCTTTGCTGGGAATTCTCTGCTTATTCCTGCAACTTCTGGTCGACGAGAGGTAACAGTTCTTATCGATACAGGCAGCTCCCACACCTTTCTTAATTCGCTTAGAGCTCAGGAGTTGAACTGTGAGTCTGAGAATATAGCACCAATGAGGGTGAAGGTTGCAAGTGGTCATACGTTGCTAAGTGATTCGGTCTGCAGGGGGTTCAGTTGGAAGATGCAGGGGGAAGAGTTTGCTTTCGATGTCCGAACTCTTGAACTACCTGCTCACGATCTGGTGTTAGGTTGGGACTGGTTAGAGACGATTAGTCCATTTCAGGTGGATTTGAAGAAAAGGCAGTTGACGTTTGATTGGAAGGGACGAAGCTTGACGTTGCAAGGGCTTACCAAGGAGGGTCAATGTAAAATGATTTCGGGACGAGCACTACAACAGATCCTCCGAAAGTCTGAGTCTCATATCATGGGGGTAGTTTTTCCCATTGAAGCTAAGCCTCCTCCAACCCCTACCCCTGCTTTCTTGGAGCCAGTTCTTTCCCAATTCTCAGACGTCTTTGCTACCCCTACCTCCTTACCTCCTTCACGAGCTTTTGACCATGCCATTCCTTTATTGCCTAACACCAAACCCATCAACATAAGGCCATACCGTTTTCCCCACCATCAGAAGAAAGTAGCTGAAAAAATGGTTGGGGAAATGTTACAGTCCGAGTTCATACAAGAAAGCCACAGTCCATATGCCTCACCTGTCTTGCTTATTGGGAAAAAAGACGGCACTTGGAGGTTTTGTGTGGACTATAGGGAACTTAACGCTGCAACCATTAAGGACAAGTTTCCCATACCCCATATCGAGGACTTGATGGATGAGCTTCATGGTGCGATTATCTTCTCTAAGTTAGACTTGCGTGCTGGTTATCATCAGATTAGGATGAAGCCTGAGGATCAATATAAGACTGCATTTCGTACACAGCAGGGCCACTATGAGTTCCGTGTTATGCCGTTTGGTTTAACAAACGCCCCTGCCACGTTTCAAGCGTTAATGAATCATGTGTTTGCTCGGCACTTACGCAAGTTTATTCTAGTGTTTTTTGATGACATCTTGGTTTATAGTAGTTCTGCCGAGGAGCATGAGCAGCACCTCACTATCACTTTGCAGCTACTGAGGCAACACCAGTTGTATGCGAAAGAGTCGAAGTGCTCTTTTGGTCAATCTCAGGTTGAGTACCTAGGCCATATAATTAGCGGGGATGGAGTATCTACTGATCCGGGCAAGATTGAAGCAATGAGAAATTGGCCACGACCTCAATCAATTAAAGGGTTGCGCGGGTTCCTTGGTTTGACAGGATATTACCGCAAATTTGTTAAGCATTACGGAGATATTAGTCAACCTTTGACTGAACTACTTTGCAAGAATGGATTTGTTTGGAATGCTGCTGCAGAAGAGGCATTTGCAGCTCTGAAAACTGCTATGATGACAGCTCATGTGCTCGCTCTACCAGACTTTTCTCGGCCTTTTGTGTTAGAGACAAATGCTTGTGGTGTTGGGGTTGGCGCTGTACTGTCTCAAGGGGGCAGACCACTGGCTTATTTCAGTAAAGCCTTGTGTGTGAAGAACCAAGGTCTTAGCACATACGAAAAGGAATATTTGGCCGTGTTATTGGCTGTCGACCATTGGCGCCATTACCTGGAGGGCAGGACATTTACAATACTTACAGACCACGAAAGTTTGAAGTTTCTAATGGGGCAAAAAGTCCACACAGCCATTCATAAGAAGGGCCTGGTTAAATTGATGGGACTGGACTTTCAAATCAAATACAGGAAAGGTAAATACAATGGGGCAGCTGATGCTCTCTCTCGCTTGTTTGATGATGAATTGGAAGAAGTCAAGTGTGGTGCCCTGACTTCTGTACTTCCTGAATGGTTGGTGGAAATTGAGCAAACTTATGTTGGATACAATGAAGTGACCAACTTGATCACGACAGCTGCGGTGCACACTCAAGGGCCCTCTCTTTGGTCCTTTGCTGCTGGTATTTTGCGTTACAAAGGCGCCATTGTAGTGGGATCTGCAGGTGTTCTTCGTTCCAAGCTCCTGCATCTTTTTCATTCTTCACCTGTTGGAGGGCACTCAGGCGTCCAGGTCACTTACCAACTTATTAAGCCCTACTTCTATTGGCCGGGTTTGAAAGCAGCAGTACGACAATGGGTGTTGGGCTGTGATGTGTGTCAACGTTGTAAGGAGGAAACAATGGCTTCTCTTGGGCTGCTCCAGCCTTTGCCTGTTCCAACTAGGGCCTGGAAAGACGTGAGCATGGACTTCGTCGAAGGATTACCACTTTCACAAGGTAAACAAGTCCTTCTGGTGGTGGTCGATCGGTTTACGAAATCAGCGCATTTCTTTGGATTGAAGCATCCATATACAACATTCGAGGTCGCCCAAATCTTCTTCGACGGTGTATTCAAGTACCACGGGATGCCTTCTACCATCGTTTGTGAGCGGGATGCCACTTTCACAAGAAAATTTTGGACTGAGTTCTTCCATCTTCAGCACACTGATATTCATTATTCCACTGCTTACCACCCTAAGACGGACGGACAAACAGAACGAGTCAACCGTTGCCTCGAAGACTACTTGCGCCGTATGACATTCCACAGACCTCAAGATTGGGCAGCTTGGCTTACCCTGGCGGAGTGGTGTTACAATAACCATCACCATATCAGTTTGATGATGTCCCCTTTTGAAGCGTTGTATGGCTTTCCACCTGCCTTCTTTGGTCTTGCAGACCATCTCTCTTCTTCAGTTGGGGCAGTCGAGGAGAGAGTTACACAACAGCAGCAGCTTGTCCAGTTGCTGACCCACAATATTACTCAGGCACAAAATCGTCAGAACCAGTATGCTGATAGGAGGAGATCTGAGCAAGTACTGCAGGTAGGAGATTGGGCGTATCTTCGGCTGCAGCCCTATCGTCAAGGGTCGGTAGTGGGCAGGCATGGTAACAAGCTTGGGCCACGTTACTTTGGACCTTACTGAATCCTCTCTAGGATGGGAAGTGTTGCTTATAGGTTGGCCTTGCCAGACGATTCGAAAGTGCACCCAGTCTTTCATGTGTCACAGCTGAAATTGTGCAGGTCCATAGTTCCTCTCGCTACCTTCCATCTTCCCGACGTTGATGACAGGGGCAGTCTCAAGTTGGCCCCGGCTCAGATACTTGCTCGACGTTTCGTTAATCAGAATAATCAGGCTGTCACTCAAGTTCTGGTGCAGTGGACACATCAGGCTCCAGACGAGGCGACATGGGAAGACTTGCAGACTTCAGTTCCCAGCATTTCCGTCTTGATGGTGTTCAGCTTGAGGACAAGCTGATTCTGAAGAGAGCGGGTTTGTAACAACCTGCACAGCTGGCGGAACGACTTTACAGCTGGAGATGACGTGGAAAGTGTAGAGAAGTATAAATAGCGAAAACAGTTCTGTAATTGGCTATCTTTGGACAATCATTCTTCTGTAAAACTTTACTCTTTAGATAGAAATAGAATAGCTACTGCCTACTTCTCTCCCAAATTATTAGTCTTCCTCTCTTACTCTTTTCTCTAGCCAGATAATCCATATCCAGGTCCTTACATAGTGATGCGGGTCGGATTGACGACGATGGCGAGGTAGAAACGATGACGGCGGTTGAGCTGCGACGGGGGTGGCGCGAGCGGCGGCGGTACTCCAGTAGGTCAGCTTTTGTTATTTAATTTTTGTAACTTGCAGAATGGGGCTTTGGGTGATATGATTGTGTACAGCTGTCTGGGGAATGATTCGATGGAAAGATGAATTGGTGGAAGGGTGCTTGGATTGTTTTTATGAAAAGGTGATTAGTTACTGGCAAGGAAGGGCTTTCTGGGTTGCTGTTTGTTTTTGTGTCTTGAGTAGAGAAATGGCAATGATTAGTTTCTGGAAATGGATTGCAATGGCCATCTCCTCCCCTCCTATTCCATCTCGCTACCTCTTCTTATACACCCATCTCTTCAACCACTTCAGCCTATCTCATCTCTGTAATTAATTTTTTGTGCCCAGATCCAGGTTCTCTCCCTTTTCATTGATTTTTCTGCACTGTACAGCTTGCAAGAATACACGGTTGGACCAGTTGCAGTTGGGCTGAATTATGTGGGCTATTTTTGTAGGTTTTTTTTGTGATAGATAGGGCTCGAAACCCCGATATGATGGAAAATAAGGGGGTGCTGAATTTTCTGCATATAGTCAAACCCAATGTACGAGTATATAAAATGACCACTGCCCAAAAAAGTCAAATAAAAAAGGTTGTATGAGATGTACTCGTGCTTTAATTTTTTTTATTGAAATTATTTACTTTTTGAAAATCCGGACAAAAATGGGTGTCAACACCCCTTAAATCTCAAAAATTACAATAAACATATCAAGGAAAAAAATCATCCAAACGATAATATTGATTTCGGATTTATTTTGAAATGGAAAAAAATCTGTCAAATGTAATGTCATCCTTAAAATAAATCAAAACTCAAAAGAAGAGGGCTAACAATACCCTGTAAGCAAAGGAGAATGACAATTATTGCACACTACATCATTTTCCCCTCTTTTAAATGTGCCATCTCGTTCTCTCTTTGCCTTCTTCTTTCTTTTCCCATTTGTTCTTCCATCTCTCTCTCTCTAAGCTTTGTATCTCACATCTCTGGCTCTCTCCCCCTTCCCTTCCTCTTTCTTCTCACTACTTGGAATAGAGAGAAACCTAGAAACATCCCAATTACTTCTTCAATTTTGCATTCGAAATGCTTCTTCTCCATTCACTGTGGATAGTGTGAATAAGAGCATCTGAAACTTGGCGAACAGATGTCCGCTTCTTTCTCGATGGAGCAAAGTAGTTTGATAGCTTGTGAATTAACTAATTACTAAAAGTGATAAAAACAACACTCGTTAAACCAATTGAGTGAGTGTATAGTTAGTTCATCGCTTAAACCATTTTATTTATCAAAAGAATCAAAATGCATAATCAGGATCTTCTTCACTTATTTACATGTATTGGTCGTAAAAATTCATTACCAATAAAAAATGATTTTGAACCATCATATTAAACTAAATCTCATCTTATGATTATTGGTCCAATTATGTCAGATTAGCAATAGGTCTAAGGCTATTGGTCAACCAGGCTAAAATTTAATACTAATTTAAGAATTATATATCATTTTCAAATGTTTAATACTCCAATTCAATATAAAATATTCGAACAAATGATATATTAGTTTCAACCCCTTCCTCGAATTTTTTAGACCAAAAATCCCCCTCCCCCCCCTCCAAACACACACATTTGCAAAGAGATACTAAATCCCAATTTCTTCACTTTACTTGCTTCTAAAGTTACTGTTGACTTTGTTTGTTATTACTGCAAGTTGTAAAATAAACTTTTTAGCTATGAAGTTAATCAAGAATGATTTTATGAATGAGTGTTTAGTTGTATACAGACAAAAAGGTTTGAGTCTCAAAATAAACAATGAATTTATTTTATAACCTTTTAAAGGTTGTAAAGGGCTGATCCACATATATTGTCTTCATGGTATGTGCTAACTGTGTCGTGCTAGCTCGACCATGTGCCTAGGGATAGTTATATGCATTCTAATAATTAAGTTTCTACTTATTCACAACACCTAGATTAAAAAACAGTCATAAATGCACCAAATATTCGATTTTGACTACCTGATGAATTACTACATTTGAACCAACTACCATTGATGTCAAAAATAATAAGAAACTTCTAAATCAAAGATAAAATATTTCAAGCATCACAAATATTAAGATTAAATTAATTCTTATAAAGAGTAAAAATTATATAATGAGGTTAATTATAACTCATTTATAGCCCTATAAATTGATCAACACATCTAGAAATGGTGAAATAAACATCATATTAAACCCAATATCGTCTCATTATTGTTGGGTCCATTCATGTCAGATAAGTAAGAGGTTTAATGATTATTAGTTAACCAGGCTAAAATTTTAGAGAACCATTCACCTATAGTTTGTAAAAAATATTATTCCTTCATAGTAGTTCTGAAAATTTATATTAATTAAATAATTATACAATGCTTTTGCATATTCAATACTGTAATTCGATGTGCATTATTTTAGGCAATGAATTTGGGTTGCAATTTTAAGATTATTCGAAACTGTATAGGTTATAAAATATTATAAATCACTTATTAAACTTTGCTACTTAGAAGATATAATAGGCTAGCTAACCGTGATAGAAAAGTCCTTCGCTTTTCAAATCTTCGCCTAGTGTATGTTTACAATTTAAGAAGATAAAACAAATTTATTTAGTGTAATTGGCTATGATTATTGTTTTTTGTTTGAAGAGACCATGGTTGAAATCTTGATATTGATACTTTTTTATATGAAGTTGATAAATAATTGTAATGACAAACTTAGTTTTCCTACTTTCACTCTCAATTCGCAAAATTTGAAATTGAAAATCTTAAAACATTAAATGTATCTTATAAAAAGAGCTTCTTCAACCAAGTAGGAAAGATATTTTACCTTACATTATTATAGGGTTATAGGTACAATATGCCCCTCTACTATGTAGTTTTATCAAACATGTCCTTGTACTTTGGAAAAATGATCAAACATGCCCTTCTGTTAAAATTTCCATTAAAAAAATTGCCAACCATGGTTGAACCGAGATGTAGATGACCCGACATCGGCAAATGAGAGCGAAAATGTCAGTTTTGTTCTCCATTTTATTTTTCTAGGTATCGTTAAAGTGAAATTATTAGAGGTATTTGGCTCTATAAAAGAACCCAAAAAAATTTAAAGTGAAATTACCAAGGATATTTTAGACATTTGTGTCGCCCAAACCAAGGTACCACCATGATTGACTGTTTTTGGATGAAAATATTAACAGAAGGGCATGTTTGATCATTTTTCTAAAGTACAAGGGCATGTTTGATGTAAAGAATAGTAGAGGGGCATGTTTGATAAAACGACATAGTAGAGGGGCACATTATACCTATAACCCATTATTATATCTTATAGAAAGTGATTAATTGTGAAATTGGAACTCAAGTAATATTGATTCAAACATTATATATTAATTGTATATATGGTTCAGTTTAGAAAAAATACATACGTGTAGCCAAAACATGAACCCTTGTGACCAATATAGTAATTTTTTGTGAAAATCTACATATAATATAAAGATAAAGTTGGCGCAATGACGAAAAAGAGCTTCCTAGGATCACTCTAAGACCATGAAATTTGAATTGAGACTATCATTTTCCAATTTTATCATTATATTATTTGTACATTTGACACAAAAAAAAATGAATATACTCGTCACAAAAGCCCATGTATTGGTTACACTTTTGTAATTGGTCTAAACTAAACTGTACATAGAATTTATTATTAATGTTTGAATCAATGTTACTTGAGTTTCGATTCCAGAACTAATATATTTTTATATAATATAAAGAACTTAAGATAAAATATAAATATAGAAGCATCATCACCAAACATATTTCTAGAGTTTAATCAAAAGAAATAACAATAAGACAATGTAGCATAATTGGTTATATTGCTCTGTCTTCATTTAAGTTACCAAGGTGCAAACTCCAATGAAAACGTTTTTAATATATAAAGATGAACAGTGTGCAATGACAAAAATGACCTTTCTAGAATCACTCACAGGCCACGAAATTTGAAATGAGACAAGTTCAACCTAGGTTTTGCCTTTTAAATATCTTGTAGATGGATGGGTTCCCCAAATTGTATTTTTTTTATGGTTAAATAAAAAATGCATTAAGAACAGGTGGTCCCAAGAACTCTTGAGCACCTCTCAACTGTTCACAACCATAAAAAAGGGGTGAATTGCAAGTTTGGTCGCTCATTTAAGTGACCAAGGTTCAAACACCAATGAAAACGTTTTTTCATATATAAAGATGAAATGTGTGCAATAACAAAAATAACCTTCCTAGAATCACTCTCAGATCAAGGTTCAACCCATGTTTTGCTTTTTATATATCTTGTAGATGGATGGGTTCCCCATATGGTTTTTTATGGTTAAATAAAAAATGCATTAAGAACAGGTGATCCCAAGAACTCTTGAGCACCTCTCAACTGTTCACAACCATAAAAAGGGGTGAATTGCAAGTTTGGTCGCTCATATTATCTATTTGTAACATGTTAGCCACGCGAATATTTTTTTCTTTATTTAGTCACTAATACTACATGTTTATGTCATCCTTGGTAACTCGCCGTTAAGATTTGTTAAATCTATCTTAGGTGGCAGTCAACTCTAATGTTTGACCGTTAAAAAGCTGATTTGTCAATTAAAAATGGGAGCCCACCAGCGTCGCCCTCCCCTCTCCGGAACAAGACTCGCTTGGGATGGAATTGAGATTGGCACTAGGCATAGAGATTAAGGCTTCCTTTTAGCTCTTCTGAGTGCATTATCAAGACAGAAGCGAGATGCGAGAAGGTGTGCAGTGCATCTTTTATATCACCGGCTGTGACGATGACATGCTGGTGGAGGACTGAAGGAATTTGGTGGTAGCTGAGTGAGTAACATTAGTGGAGCCGGTCACAGCGGTGTTGTAGGGACGAGTATCTTGTCTCTCACCGTTTGAATTTTCCTTGAAAAGTTTGACAGCGGCGCGATGGTTGAGAAGATGCTTACTTTGGGACTGCAGGCGGCGACTGATGGAGAAGGAATTTGTATGCAAAGATGCAACCAAGATAGATCTAGCCCGCCACTCTACCTCTACCGTTGCTGCTCCTTCCTTCGACACTGAGGATGAGAAAGATGAGGTCTTCGAGCCTTGAAGGAAGCGCGGCCGGGACGAAGAGGAGCAACGCTTCGCTTCACACTCTGATCCCCTCCCGCTACCTCCACGCCACCAGAAACTCACGAACCCAAGCATTCCGCCGCAAAATCCACCAATCCTCTCCTCTTTCTCATCGCAAAATTCCTACCATCACTGTGCGAAACATCCTGTCGCAAAACCACAATTGTCCCGGCGAATCAAACCCAACGACGACAAACAGGAGGAGCAATCGATGTGGTCCAATCTGTAATTCACAATTGCGTTGATGAGGAAGAGATCTAGACGACGTGATTGGGATCGGCGTGGAAGGAATTCTGGGCAGATGACAGAGCCAAGTCAGAGTCCTCCTCTATTATGGTGATAGCCGGTAGGCCCGGCCCAGGTCCTGTGCTGGTCAGACCCACATCACAGGGCCTCCAAAATTATGGGGCCTCACAACCAAGCCCAATATCCCATATCCATAATATACATACATATAAAAATAAAATTTGAATTGAAAAATGGAAAACGGATAGGCAAAGCTTCGTGCGCCTCGTTGCCTCCTCCTCATCTCCATTTCCCAAAAATCTTTACCAATGATTCAATCCTTCCTTTCCCCAAATTACTCACCTTCCAAACCAACGTCTCTAAGTCAATAAATGTTAAATGTCTCAATCCTCCCTTCATAGAGTTACTCTGCCAAGAACACGCTCTTGCATCCGCCCAGATTCTCCCATTTCCCTCAAATTCGAATTTCAATCCTTTGCCGAAATCAATCCCTTGCTGAGGTAGCCGAAATCAATCCCCTTATCCCCTCGAATCCGCATCATCAGCATCGGTAAGTACGATTTTCGCCGTTGTTCCGACAGGTTTCGCTCCCGCTCGCGGCAAATCAGTCTCATGATTTCGACTTCCATCTCCCCGTCCCGCTATCCGTCGTGGTTTGGTAAGTCTGTGCCTCCCTAGTTCCAAATTCTTCTAATTATTTTTTTCGGTGCTGCCGCGATGGAGTTTAGAGATAGGAGACTCTGCTTTTTCTTGGAGACTGCCGAATGGAGGTGTGAAGAGTGAAGACAGGAGACCCGTTGGGATGAATAGCTTTGAAAAGCTATAAATGACATCCCAATTAATTATCCAGTATTATCCCATAATACATAAATAAGATGGATAATTAATAAAAAGAATATTATGGAGATAATTAGGATTAATTATCTTAATCGATTATATTTTAATTATGAGAGTAATTATCTTCCTGATTAAAATGTGACTTATTCCCAAAGAAAGAGGTAATATTCTGGGTTTTCTGCTCCCATAAATAGTAGACCCCTAGACCCTCTAAACACACCCCAGAAGAGCAGAAACACGAGAGGTCTGGTTTCGCACAAAACCGATGAGCAACAAATACAGAATGGTTGTTTTATCCTGGAGGCGACCGACTAATAGTCTGCCGTGTGCAATGAAGGCAGTGCCGCGAACTTCTTAAAGAGACCGACCTAGTCCGTGACTCAGCCAGATTCGGTAACCCTAATTTTTCTGTTTGGTTTCTAACAATTTTAAGACGTTCGGTTGCTGTAGTGTGTACCGAACATGATACCGATTCTGGCTTGATCTATTGCTATCGCCAAGCCGCTCCAAAAAGGGTATATTGAATTGCGTCCGCTGCGCTACACACTTGATTTTGCCCCCAAACCGATGGAAAACCCTCATATGCATCTCATTAATTTTGCTTTCACTTTCGCAAGGAGTGCTTTCAGCATTGTCCGGATTGTCGATCAAAATTGAGGGAGAAACGCTGGTGGGTACATGGACAAGGAGATGATCAATCGAAGAAGTGCTGCTTCTAATCTAATCTTCTAATCTATCTAATCTATCTAAATCATTACTATATGGAGGTTCTGTTAAGTGACTATGTCGTGCTTCATTCACTCACCGATTCAAGAACAAGAATTGTTTTAATGATTCAGACAGCTTTGAAGACGAAAGTCTTCAATTCATTCAAGCAATCAAACTATTTCTAAAGTACGCCCTAAGAATAGTGGTTCGGAAATCAAAATTAAAACAACCCTAACGGCTGAAGAACACAAATAGAAAGAAGAACACAAGAGGAAGAGGGGCCCAGATAGACTAGAGTTCCTGGCAATATGCCCCAACTCTAGTCATCCAGACACTTAAACTCAACCCAATCCGAATGCTCCCAAAGAACTGACCCGATCTAACTGAGCAAGGGAAACCGTTGCCTCTCTTCTTCTTGGGGAGGTCTATATATAAGTCCAGCCGATTCAACCTTCGGTCTCTCCTTCAACGTTGATTACCATTGAGTTGAATTGATGATGGCGTCGATCGATGCACAGAAGACTCACAGTCGAGGTATTGACTGTCTTTGATGATTATGATGCGATGAGTAAAGGCGAAGACGCTCAATGGGGTCTTGACGAGGTCAGAGACGATGATGCGAATGGGTCAGTGGGCTTTCAGTGATAGTGGGCCTTTTTGGTTATGAATAGGAGACGAGGCAAGGCCCAACAGGTTCTACTCCAGAACCCCTTCAATTGTAATTTTCTTGACTCCTGCGCAGTTGGCAGAGGGCCATTAAAGTAAAAACAATATTTTAATTGATGGAAGGGGTTTTAATTTGTACGGGCCATTGAAGGCAGAAAAGGAGAGTTTAATTAATGTTGGCAGCTTCTTAATTATTTCCATCCATTTTAGGCTTACCTCCTCCAAAAATTTATAAAGGAAATTTTTTATTGTCTGAGTCTCTTAGACTAAATATCTAAAGACACCCAATTCACGTTTTTTGTGTTTATTCACGCCATTTGGTGTTTGTTCACGTAAGAGTGTAAGTTATTCACGTAAATGAAAATTCATACCTATTTCCTCCAATAATTTGTAATGGCTATATTTTATGGAATTAAATTTGGATTATCAATTAATCTGTAAATATGTGTTGCATTGATTATAAGCTACACAATGAAACTCATTTCGATATATTTTCAAGTTTAAAATTTGATTTTACAACGGCGTGAATAAATAACAATATGCGTGAAAAAACACCAAGTTGCCTGACTAAACAGTATGGTTGCGTGAATAATCAACACTTTTACGTGAATAACGCCAATATGACATTAATAAATGAAAACATGAGTGAATTATGTGTTCTGTCCGTCTTTAGAGGTACCAAGAGACTATATCATAAAGTACATTGCTAACAGTTGATGAACATATATGAGCAGCCTGAAATATTAATTTCTATTTACTGATGTTACCACATCGAGTTAATTAATGAAAATTATGGTGTCTTATATGGTGTAGTATTGCGTTTTATTTCCCTAATACATATACATTATAGATATAGTTAATGGGGTAGGGCACCTGTTAATTATATGAAAATGAAATTTGATTGTGATAATTGTGGGTTTCGTCAATGGTTTTATATAATCTTAGTTTTATAGGTGATCGATGACATGGGCATTTATATACTACGTAGTAAGTATCATTATTACAACAACAAGGCAAACAAACGAAGGGAGAACAGAAAGAAAGAAAGATCACTCCTCACTCACTGAAGGTTTAGACTAAATGATTTTTGAAGGCTACTCTTATGTGTTTTATGCTTCGAAGAAATACTTCATGTGAGAGTCTTACAAACAACTAAATAATGCTTCAATTCGTTCGTTATTGAATGTAAGTATTTTTTTTATTAGCATAAGTATATACATCTTACAATTTAATGTGTTCATGTGAAGCGTTATTCAAGAGAAAAGAGAGTTATTTTTATACCACCACGAGGTGTGGTCAGTAGTGGATTATAATCAGTCTCTATTTGAATTGCAGAATGAATTTTCTTATGGTATGAATATCGATGAATCATGAATTGATTATAAACTCCCTAAATATTTGACACTACTAGATCTTAAAAAACTACCATTATCCATTTTACATTTTCAGAAATTAATGCACATAAGTTAGAGTTAAAGAGAATTGATCAACCATTGACCAAATTAGTAAGAAGGAAACATGCTCTTTATACACGGCAAAAGCGTATATATGAAAAAATTGTCAACATTCTTACTAGTATTTCATTATTTTAATGTTTGTATTCTATTTATATGGTATCAAATTATGTGTTAGATGCTAGGATTGCTTATTTTAATGATTCCTCTTAAAATGAAATTAATAACTTACAAACTAAGAGAAATAGATTGTTGAGATCCATCAAACTTGTCGAAAATCATTATAATCGTCTTTGGGTGATGTGATCTAGAGACTTTTCCTGTTTTATGAATATTTTAATTATCCTTCATTTATTATATTATTGAAAATTTATCAAATGTATCTCTTATATTGGAGTTTTAATTGTAGTTGTTGAAGTGTTTGATATTGGACCCCATCATATAAATGTGAATATACTGGAGCGATGATGTGGAAGGGAGAAAGTACCAAACCCAGAAGGAATCCCAATGAATCAAAGTTTTCATTTTGTAGACAAGGCAAAGTGAATCTCCCTCCTCGAAGGTAGCCTCCAGATGTTTTGAATATGTTAATGCAAGCAAACACTTAAACCTGACGTCACTTTTGTTCGCTAACTATTATCATATAAATTTAATTATTATGATAATTTTTCATTTTAGATGTAATTTCCATTGAATTATAAAGCATGCTCTACCTCTTGCTCATTTATTAGTTTCGCTTGCTGCATAAGATAAATTATATAGTCATTCAGAAATAGATTCACTTATATATGCGGAAGTTCCAGATCCTAGAGTAGATCCAGGATGTTATGAATCAGTTGCAAAATTTATGTTTCATGGTCCTGACATGCAAGGACCTAAAGCTCTATGTACAACAAATGGTGTATGCTATAAACATTTTCCAAATGAATTCTACATTCAAAGAACTATTGATGACAATGGTTTCGCGAGGTATCGACATCCATAGAACAACAAATCGTATATGTTTAATGGAGTATCACTAGATAATCGATTTGTTATTCCTTAATACTATTGTTATGATTTCAGGCACGCATCAAGTCCAGGTTGGTTATTCATCTCATGAATTTTTTTATATCCTCAATAAATTAACATTATCTATTATTTAAATTATTGTGGTCTCCTGACATATTAAATTGAATGATTATAGGAAGGACTCTTTTTCTTTTTCAATCAAAATACTTTTAATAATAATAAATTCTCTGTTAGATTTCCTACGGTAAAAAAAAGAGTATGAGTTTTTGGAATCTTTGTTAGGTACAAACCCAGAAAATAATATCTCTGAAACTTTTTATATTTTTTCTTTGAAAATAATATCTTAGTACCATACTAACATATTCATTCAGGATATTAAAGTATTTATGTCTTTACCTTTCCCTTCCGTTCTCCTCCGCTTTCTAATTTTTTTTTTTTTTTACATTCGAGTGGAGTATCATCGTCTGCATTTCGTTATTCTCAACAGAAGCGGCATGCAAAGAATTCTTTGAGGGTAAGTGTCATTTACTGCTTTTCAAAGTGTCCATAAAGCTAGCTACATGACTCATATGTTGTGAGATCAAGGTTATATGTCAAATGTTGACACAAGCAACTTATATAGACAAGAATTATTTTTCAAAATTAACACATTTTATACTTATGCAAATGTTCATTTAACTTACTCAGGACAGGGGTAGGTATTCAACCGTGCATTAGTTGTCTCATTTCTTAATCAATTGTTGTAGTGAATCAACAATTTAAATGAGCATTTTGAAAGAATATATATATGGAAGTAGACAAAATGTTTATTTTCTTATATGATATGTGTATATGCTTTTTGATTACGTTTAAAATATTTGAAACAATTTTCCAGGTAAAATCAATTTCACCTCTTGAGGAGCGACCTTACTACTCATGTATCCAAGAATTCCACAAGTAATTAATTTTGGACCAAGGTGAAATTCTTACACATTTAGGCTAACTCTAACCCACAAAGTTAAATTTGACTTCCCAAATAGCTAAATATGACTTTTTAGCTCCCCAAATCACATTTTCACTCCAACCCTACAAAAAGCTAAATTTAGCTTCCTACCTCACATTTTCAATTTATTTCCATAACCATACTTATTTGACCTTTAGTTTTTATATTTCCTTTTAATTTTTTATAATTCATTATCACTTTTTGAAAACAATTGTTTTTTCGTCACTACGTCAATTGATTCTCATTTAAATTTAAATCACACCAACAACGCAACAACCAATCACAAATGAGGAAGAAGAAGAAAAAAAAGGAAAAAGGGGGTTTGCCTACCACATGGGACAAACAAACGTGGGCCCAATACCACTTTTGCCCAGCCATAAATAGCTTTCCTTCCCAAAACCCATCCAAATTTGGCTCTCAAAATCCCAATAACCATATTTGACTCCCTTTTTTTTTTTGGGTTGGAGTAAGAAAAAGAGCTATATAATGGCTCTTTGGCTTTTTTGCTCTCTAGGTTGGAGCCAGCCTTACTCACCATATTTGCCTGCGTGTTGTGAGTTTGATGTTTAACAAACCCAAACATGAGTAATTGTCATTCATTTTCGGTGATAACACCGACGGCGATTGCCAAATCCACCGGCGTAAAGCATGGAAGCACCTCAAAGAAAGGACGAGGATGAGCACGACACGGGCTATGAGTATATATAAGAGTTATTCAAAACAATTATAGAATTCATTTTGCTGGTAGAGGGTTAGTCGTTGATTTTTTCGTAAATTAATTGTGTTGGATGAGTGGGTTAGGATGTCCCAGAATACTATGATGTTCGTATTTTAAAATTTTTAAGTACTTTAATATTTTGGATTCTTTTACGCTACAAAGAAATTTATATTTCGATAATTTCAGCAATCTAGATTTTTGTCAACAAACAAAACACGCGAAACTCATGCTACTCTTTTTTGTATTAACACAATTCACAAATGAACCCGGTATTCTTACCTATTTAGTTACACGGTTGAAAAATGAAACCGGCCAACCGGCCGGGCTCGTGACTAGTATTGAAAGAGTCCTTTTCCTTTTTCCGAACCCTAGCGGCGGCACAAAAATCATGGTCAAAGGGAAATTTAATTTGTTTTTAATAATTTTACCTTTCTTTTGCTATTCATGTGATGTCGTATTTGTTTGATATGGCGCACACTAACAAGCATTGTTTGGTTTGCGGTGTCCATAAGGGAATGAATGCTGGTTTGTCAGTTGAGTAATCAACATTGATTTATTAGGTAATCTAGAGATAAATAATCTGGAGTTGCGGTTGCAATCGAAGGAGAGAGCCGGCTGAATGGGTGACGACGGATCTGGCCCTATTGCTAAGCTTCGGCTCCTCCGCTGGGGACCGATAGCTTGTGGTATCTTGATTTTGGAGACCGCGGCGCCTTGAGTGGTATCCATATAATGGCGATGGGAAGAGACAGGGAGGAAGAAAGCCGTGCAATACTGTGAAGAAGCGGCCAAATCGAGCCCTTCAATTCTGTTATGGGAAAAGTAGATGCAAAGGTGCCCTGGTCCGATTGTTTGCTCTAGCCCAAGTAGACTCCAGGAATTAAGGAGCTGCGGATGGAAATTGAGAAAAATGCGAGAGGCTAGCGCAACAGGCAGTTTGGGACGGAGTCTCGAGTAGTTGAGGACTTCCAGGTGCCATTGTCGCCTCGGAAGGAAGAGTTTCGTTCAATAGTGGAAAATTCTCGAGCTAGGCTGAATGGAACTGATCAGCCGCCGAACGAGAGGATAATGCATCGACTTCTCCGAAATGAGGTAAGAGAAACCTTTTTCGTGGGTTATTAATGAATGACAAATAGAAGGTATGTCATACAATACTATGCATGGAATTGAGGAATAAAGTGGATGCTTAAAAAAAAAGCTAAAACCGATGCATGAATAGATTGACATTGAGATGTGTTATGCTCAATGATTAGAGTTCAACTTTGTATACATGTTTTAAAGAGTGATTTTTGATTGCATGAATGTATACTATAAAACATATATAAATGCATAGTATGTGGTATATATGTTAGTGGAATGGGTTGTACACTCATATTTATTTTGGAAGAAGTACTGTTGTCAGTACTAAGTGAACCATTTTGCGACATTGAACCCTAAAAGGTTCAAGAATCAAATTAGCAAGTCGAACCAGATCCACACCAATTAGAATGGTACCATTCATGGTAACTAAAAGATCATCGGCCAATCCTCTAAGAATGACGCTTTATTACTCTGCAATAGTTGCGAGAAATTAGGTCATATGACACGAAAGTGTATGAACAAGATAACACTAGTTCTAGTGTTAACTTGACTGAAAAGAAGGATTGGTGGTTGTGATGATTGTGAAAAAGGCAGAGATTAACCTTGCTGGTAACTCTGAAGAATGGTGGCTAAATAGTTGTACCTCGAAGCATACTAAGGCATATGCTATTAAGAAAGTGTTGTTGAGTATTGCTCACTCCACTATTGAGAATGATCATGAGATGCATATGATGATAATATTAAAGTGTTGAATTTTTATGGGTCTTGCATGCACGTATATCTTGAAGAATTGAATAGCTAGGGTGAAACACCCTAACCCGGTCGGATACTACTTTTACTAAAATGCCATTGATAAATAAAATACTCAAATCTTAAATTGCAACTGGGAAAAATTTTAATAAATAAAATACTGAAAACACACACTTGTAGTTCAAAGCAAAGCCCTAACATGTGAGCAAATTAAACTCAACCTTTAAAAACTCAACTTGATCTCCAGTCTATACTCATAATCATAAAACATAATAACTACTAGTCCCAAGTGCTGCTGCTTGTGTGAAGCTCTGACTAGACATCCTCTGTGACGCACGTACCGTCCTCCTCTAGCTAGCTTGCCTTGTGCAGCTCTCTCGATCTCGCTGCTCTCTAACTGCTCCTCTAGCTAGCTGTTATCGATCTGGTTCACGTTCGCTCCTTTACTAAGGCCTGGTGAGTGAGATGGGCTCAGTCTACGCTCTTATGTTTAGGAATTTCTTATACTTGAGTACTTTGCTTAAACACTTAACTTTCTATTAAAGCTCAAAACCTTACTTAAACTTTTGACTGACACGGGGGTCCATCACTAGCTAGTCCGGTTGCCAACTCATACGTATGAGAAGCCAATCAGGCTTTCCTTAAACTTAAACTTAGTTAGGGAAGTCGTAACGATTCATCCCCCTAACATCTTAAACTTATCGTGGTGGCTCTTCACCACGATTCTCAAGAGCATAACTGCTGCTCATCTTAAAAGTCTCAAGAGCATAACTGCTGCTCTATCTCAAAGATCTCAAGAGCATAACTGCTGCTCTATCTGAAAACCTCAAATGGCAACGGACTGGCGCTAGTGACTAAAAACACTTAAAACGACTTCACCTTCTTGAAGGTGAGTTACTTCTTTAAAAGAACTTGTTTCTTACTCTATAATAATAACTTATACTCGTAAAAATTTCAAAGTAACTTATAAACATTCACTTCAAGC